GTGTATATATATATGTGTGTATGTGTATATATAGTTAAGTAGGTAGAGATGATAGGTAGATAGATAGTTAGATGATCACTTCAGTAATAAGCCCCAAATGTTGTGAGAATGACATGTTAGCAGGTGATTCTCCTGTTTCAAATGTATTTTTGCATTTTTACAGAGATGTATTATTTATTTGTATTTGAGGGAACTTTTGATTGTTCCATATAAGATGAAATTAATGTAACTCCCTAAAATTAGAATTAATTGAAATAAATCTATAAATGTATATGTACATGTACATACATGCACACAAGTATTTGAATATAAATAATATATAATGAATGTTTTGTATGTAAAGAGTGCCTTCTTTATCTCCTCATCCATAGACTACTAAGGTAGATTAGTTTTACTTGAAATGTTAAATAGTATTATCTAATTTCCATTAAAACCAAAATAGAAACTCTTTTTGCTTTATGGCATTATTATCACACCAATATGTAGTACAGTTTTCAGAGTTTGTATTCATTAAATAACTTCAGAAAGAAGTGGTAATACATAAGAGAAACAGAACAATTCCTTTAAGTATAATTTCTGTGGTAATTTCATTATATAGTTTATACTGATGTTAAAAATTTTGTCAGTTACATTCAAATAAACATTTAATTTAATTTGAAATATAAGTATATTTTGAGAGTACACTGAATGCAAGAGCTGATGATCCTCTCTCTTGTTTTTAAATTGAGGTGACATTGTACAAATGTCAAGTACAGAGCACCACACCTCCACAAATGTGCCACGCCACACCCACCACCACTGGTTTCCACCCGTCACCATCCAACTGGCTCCCTTTACCCATTCCTCCCATTCTTCCACCCCTTCCATTTATAAATACCATTCTGTTGACTGAATATAAGGGTTTATTTATTTATTTATTTATTTTATTACAAAAGTTTATTTTTACATCATTTTGTACATTTTTTTTTTTTCTCAATTGTAATCCCTGCGGGTTTCCCATCACCAAGTCACCCATGTGCCATCATCATAATCCCGTGCATTTCCCTCCTCCCACCCCGTTTTTGATCCCATTCCCCACTCCACCCCCACAAAATGTCTCTGGTATATGGTTGTTCATTATTTTTGTTATTTTCCACCTGGTCCATTATACTCCTGCTATGAGTGAAACCATCCGGTATTTTTCTTTCTCTTTCTGGCTTATCTCACTAAGCATGATCTTTTCCAGTTCCATCCAAGTTGTTGCAAAAGACATGTGTTTCTCTTTTTTGGTTGCTGAGTAATATTCCATTGTATATATGTACCACATCTTTCTAATCCAGTCATCTACTTTTGGGCATTTGGGCTGCTTCCATGTTTTTCCAATTGTAAATAAAGCAGCAATAAACATGGGGGTACAAATATCTTTTTTCAATCAGTGTTTTTGTGTCTTTTGGGTAGATACCTAGGAGTGGGATTGCTGGGTCGTAGGGAAGCTCCATGTTTAGCAGTTTGAGGAACCTCCAAACAGTTTTCCATAGTGGTTGTACTAGTTTGCATTCCCACCAGCAGTGCAGGAGAGTTCCTTTTTCACCACATCCTCGCCAACATTTGTTGTTGCTAGTTTTTTGAAGATGTGCCATTCTCACTGGAGTGAGGTGGTATCTCATTGTGGTTTTAATTTGCATCTCTATAAGGGTTTATTTTTATTTTATTTTTTCTGTTGTTTGTTTGGCTTTCTATTCCATATGAGTGATATCTTTATCTTTGTGACTTATTTCACTTGGCACCGTACTCTCTAGCTCCATCCATATTGTCACAAATGGCAAATTTCATTTTTTTATAGTTTAGCAGTGATCCATTTATAAATAGCATTTATTATATATTTATACATATGTAATTTAAGTCATATAGAGCTACATATATGTATCACTATATATTATATATACTGCATATAATATATGGTAACTATATAGAATGTATACATTCTATATATATATTCCACACATACTTTATGTTGTAGAATCTATATATATATTTTCTATATATGTAACCATATATTATATTATATATTATATAATAGCCATATATTATAGCAACTATATATTATATATAGTAACTGTATATCATATTACTATATATTATATGTATTATACATAGTACATAGACATATAATATATGTCTATAATATATGTCTATTATAGACATATATGTCTATATATTATAGAAACTAATATGTAGTTGCTGTATATATAATATATGGTTGCTATATAAAATATATAGTTGCTATAATATATAGTTACATGTGTATATGTAACTATATATGTATATGTATGTGTGTGTGTATGATTTAGGTAATCATCTGTCCATAGACACTGAGGTTGTTTCAGTATCATGGCTTTTATAAATAATCTACGATAAACATAGGAGTGCACATGTTTTTTCAAATTAGTGCTTTCATATTTCTCAGTTAAATACATAGAAGTAGAATTGCTGAATCACATGGTAGTTCTGTTGTTAATTTTTTGAGGAAAGTGCTATTCCACTCTTGCTGTTTGCATGTCTTGGACATTGAACCTGAGATAGATTGTAACAAACAGCATGAAGTCTGATGGATGAATCAGTTCAAACAAATGCATTAGCAACAACCAAAATATTATCTTGGCTGACTGTCACTGGTATTGGTATAACAGTTTTTATTTGATGTAGCTCAAGCTTCACACTTTCATTGGATCTGAGATATGATTGAGTGCCTCCAAGCTGGTGCTTAATTTACTAGCTCAATAGAGTTGACACTTGAAAACTCAGGGGTAATTGCCACTGGCTACAGTGGAAACTCTTAGTGTAACTTAGAGTCAGCTTCTGTATATACAGATTCTACATTTGAGGATTCAATCAGCATCCAAGGTTGGTGAATCCTTGAGTGTGATACCCATAAACAGAAAAAAAAAAGAAAATGTATGTAAGTGGACCTGTGCAGTTCAAATCCATGTTATATAAGGGTCCATGGCATTATACAGTCTGATACAGGTACTGTCATTACATTTGAGTTTTTTTGTGTTCTTAGGTTCATCTACCTATATTAAATAAAATTTCCTGGTGGTCATGCCTTATAAACCTATTACTAGTTTGGTTTGACTTGGTTGTTAAGCCTGGCCCATGTTTCAAAAAGCTAAATAACTAGGCAGTTTCTATTCCAGATTGGACTAAATGGAGCTTTGGTCCTGTATAGCATAGTTGTACTTAACCATTTTATAACTTCATGGCACATAGATGAGTTTCTTACACTTTCTAGTGCAAGTTAGCGTAAGAAAGCATTCACTCTTTGTTCCCTGATTTTATCACTGCTAAATAAAATACTATTATGTGAACATCTTTGACTTCCTGGATAATAATTAAAGATGGTAGAATTGAAGATAAAGGATCCCAAAACATCTTATGTTTTGTCTGTTGGATCCAAAAATTGATAGACTGTAGGAAGTTCTATTACATTAGAGTTCAGAAGACACATGTCAACTGATGACCCTTATGCTGATTTTCATAGAATAACCACTTGTTCATTGGATAGGGAATTTGCTAGCATGTTTTGTTTGGTTAGGACACCTTAAGTTCTTGTACCATTGGCCAGTAGGGAAAATTGGCTATGAATCTGATGAAAAATTAATACTGTAAATTTTTAGGAGGTATATAAAGCTTCATAGGCAGAAGCTTTGTAACTTTTAAATGTACAGAACAGAGACCACTGGTTGAGGTTCTGGCTCATAGAGGCTATTGCAGGACTCTGTATGATGGATTCTGAGATTGGGTGGAGGGAGATCAGGAGATGGTCCTGGTGTGGATGTTCTTGGAAGGCAGAGACAGCATAACTTGTTTAAAGATGAGTTGTGATCTTCCAGTCCATCCTGAAACTTCCTGCACAATGTGCTGGTGCTAAAGTTAACTGAGGTGGGCAAGGCATTCAGGGTGGGGGGGGAGTGGATTCGCTGGTAAGGAGTAACCAAACTCACTTCACCTGAAACCCACCCTTGTTTTCTTCACCTACAAGTACAGACAAAAGGCTGTACTGCAAACACTTTTACAGAAAGGTATGCCAGGATAGGATAGATATAGAACTCATCTTTTGAGTATTGAAACTTGGTGTGATTTTGTAATTTTTCTCACTTGTATGTTCATGAGGAATTTAAGTTTTAATTGAAATTGTTCTTCATTGAGTTAGGAGTAATGTGTGTGTGTCTATAATACATGTTTGTATGCACCATCCTTCTTAATTTTCCTACAAATTAATATTTACATTAAAAAGAACACTGTTGTTTCTCTGGAGTCTTTGCCTTCCATGTAACAGCTTGTCCTCTCTCTGTCCCCTCCTAGCAGGAAGCCAGTTGTCTGTGGCTATGAAAATACAACCTCTCTTTTGACAGGTAGTGCCAGTGTGTTTCTCCCAAGTATCCCCCAAATTGTGATGTTAGGAAGCCTGGATTGAAATTTATACCACTGTGGACTAGTCCTGGCCATGCTGAGGCATAGCTCTTCTACCTCCAAAGTCTTTTCACTTGCCTGAACTTTGCTTTGAATTTATGAGTTTAGGGTTTTGAATCAGAACACTGTCCAGTTTCCTTCTAGCTCTCAGATTCTAGGATTGGGTTTCTTATTGCACATCCTGTGAGTTAACCTTGTGCTTGGTTGCCTGGGATGCAGAGGCTTCATGTAAGCATCTGACAGCTTAAATATAATAGGATTTAGAGGATGAGCAACTTTTTAAAAGAAAGACTTTGAGGTTAGCAGGCTTATAGCCTATTTAGTGGTGCCATTGAAATTTAAATGAACCTGCAAATAAGGAAAATTTAGACAATTCAGGCACTGAAGAGAGGTTGTCATATCCTTGCTTAAGCATTAGCATGGTTATTTTTTTAATGTAGTCACCTTCTGCATATTAACAAAGTAGAACATCTATCATTCTTTGGCATAAGGTGAAAAATGAAGATGATATTCTGCACACATTGACCCTTTTCTCTATTTTCTCCCAGGGTTTTCCAGGAAACACAAATGCAGACAGTGTTGTGCACTACAGACTCCAGCCTCCTTTCGAAGCCAGGTTCCTGCGGTTCCTCCCCTTAGCCTGGAGCCCTAAGGGCAGGATTGGCATGAGGATTGAAGTGTACGGATGTGCCTACAGTGAGTGGTCCTTATTCCCAGACAGAAGTCAACATCATTGTGACATATAGTAAAAAACAAACTAAAAACTGGATGAAATTTTTGTATCCTTTTAATGAACTATGCTTGTAGAAATTTTTTTTTTTTGGTACGAAAATACTTAATAATGCTGCTTTAGTTATTTTACAGGTGAGTACAGAGTTGGATTTGAACTAAAGCATAGAATTTGATTCCCAGAGTTCAGCAGAGTACTTTTTTTATGGCAGCCTCATTAACAAAATTAAGGAAAATTGAACCAATAGCAGTAATTTACTGTGACTGATGTTGCTATTTTCTAATATTGAGATTGTTGGGGGAAAAAGAGGTTCTGAACAGACTCCATAAATAAGTTTTTATTGACCTCATCATTACCCCAGACCAAAGAAATCCAAGACACCAAAGACTTCAAATCCCACCTAAGGGGGAGATTTCTGAAAACTGAGGATGGAATTAGGCAGCCAGGCTTGGTTTATAACCAGCCATTTGAGCCTTGGGGGTTATTGACATTTTGCTGGCATGCCATTGGGGTTCCAGCTCAGCAGAACTGATTGGACACATTCACTACTCTATCTCTCTCGTTCTCCCTGAGTTCATTTCTTAATTCCCCCTTTTTTCTAAATAAATCCTTTATTACCCATTTTGTGTGTAACTGTGAGTCTCACTATAAGTCCCTTTTAAGCATGCACATGAAGAACCACAGTCAGACCAACCCATTTCACATTGGGGTTGCCCTGTAACAAGATGGCCCTAATGAAGACATGGATGACTCAAGTACAAATGTCACCATGTTCCTCACACACTACAATGACTCTGTTTTCCCTTTTCTTCCCTGTTTGTACAGTGTGTTGTGACTTAATTTTATCTAAGCCTGGTAACATCATTTTGTAGTATGTCCTCTTTACCCCACTGATGATAAAGTAACAACATTCGCGGTCAACCTGAACAGAATCACAAGCTTAAGAGCATTCAAAAATAGATGGGGGAATTAACTCAACAGTTGTTATACTGGAGATCCAGAAAATAGTATTACTTAATACACAAAAAGGAAAACTTAATAATATAAAGTTCTAAAAAAGTGATGAAAAACCCATCACTTGCATGGCAATAGCCTGTAAAAATGGGTTTTGGTCAGGTTGGCCAATGAAGGGTGACTTCACCCCTCAATTATATCTGACGTATCTTAGCCTACCTCTAACAGACATTTTCTCATTCAACTTGCACATCAAACAAGTGGGATAGTAATAATCCCAGTGCTTTAGAGTAGGAAAAAAAAAAAAAAAAGGACTGAACCTTAGAGAAATGAAAATGTTCATGAGAGCTATTACATATTGGATCTCAAATATTTAAAAACTATCTTTTTTTATAAATTTGGTTCTCATCACTAGCATACTAGTTAGGCATTAATTTCTTTATTCCCTTGCTTATAAGAAAATGTATTGAACATTTGCTATTTTCAGATAACACTGTTAGGTATCAGGTGTAGGGGATTCATTCTAAAAGTGTTCATTTGTTGGCAGGGGTGAAATATTTTTTAATTTCAACTCTTAAAATCTCAACAGTGTTTTCACTACATTTATGGCCTTATAAGCTCGCTTTAAGATACCCAAAAGGGGATTTCATTCACTTTGTCAGGATTTTGTGAGGAGTCACACAACTGTAAAAAACAGATATAAAGTATTATGACATGAAAATGGGGCATGAGGAGGAAAGTATTCAGGAAAACAAACCTTCTTTGTAGCTAAATTTGCAAAGTGGGGGAGTGGATGTAGAGAGGGTCCTTGCATGAGGACACTAAGGCTCTGTTAGTGCAGGACTCGGGTAAGGTGTGGGCGTTGTACAGTGCAGTGAATTGTTGAGGAGCAACAAATAATCCCCATTCTGGTAACCTCAGGGAGAATAAGTGTTTTCCAAGTCAGGCTCACCCAAGTACTTCCATCCCAGATTAAAGGATCCCAGTCATCATTAGTTCATTTACCTTCCTAATCCCACTAATTGCTCACTTTCCTGACCCTTCCAGTTTATTTACATGGAATATCTACCAGAGGTGGTATTGCACCGCCTTCGAACTTTTGTCCCTCTTTCCATTAGTCATTTCCTTTCGCTCTTTGTTTCTTGGATCTCTGAATGTGTTCACAGATACCGCAGCTACAGTGCCTGATTTAGAGTTTCTCTTTGATCCCATGAAATTAGCATCCCCTTCTTCCATTATTTTGGGAACAACTTAAGGTTTACTTACTTCAAAGCTCAACAAGGTCTTTGATGGGGATTTGCCATTAGCTTGATGTTCTTTGTGAGAGCATATTACTTCAGTTCCTTGGGTAAGAAATTAGTACAAGGAAGATTAAAGCTGTGTGTCAGCTTCCCAAAAGGATAGTTGGGTGTGCAACTGTCATGGGATCCTAAATTCAGCACATGGAGCATAAGAGACTCCTAGGTTAAAAACAAATACAGACAAGTAACAGTTGTCACCACTTGTAAATCAATACAAAGTTCACCCCTTAATAATAGAGGCTCTAATTGTCTTCATTTTTACTATTGATGATTAACGTTTAAGTGTGACTCTGAATTTTTAGTTTTGAAAGTATTATATGCTTTTTAGCTAAAAGTTATCATTTGTATTTTTGTTACAGGGCAACCCCAATGTGAATTAGGTTACCTGGCAGTGGGTCCTCATTTCTGTGCTTAAAGGGACTTATGATAAGAATCAACGGGAGGCACACACACAAAAAAGTTAATAATGTGCTTATTTGCAAAAGAAAGGGACAATGAATAACATGGGGAAAAAGAGAGAACTAAGTTAATGCACCCTACCAGTTCAGCTAACCTGGAATCCCAATAACATGCTGAGAGCCAGTCAAAAGCCAAGAGACAAACCAAGTGAGCCAAGTGAGCCAAGTGGCCAGGGGACCCCTAAGTACACATGTCTGGTTTTATATCCATCATGGCTGCTTAACTTCACCCTCAGGTCCCAGCAATCCTCCCGCTGGTGATGATGGGATTTGTAGTTTCGGTGTCTGGAGTGGAATCCGCAAAATCTGTATCTGTTAGCTCAGGACATTCTTTTCCCCCTAACATTTCTACTGCTGTGATTTTATTGAAAAATGTCCAAATTGGGCCCTCACTGGTGGCACAACAGGTTAAAGTGCAGCACTGTGAAGCTAGCCACAGCTGTATCAGCATGAGTTTGATCCCAGTCAGGGAGGTGACCCATATGGCATAGCAGACCTCTCCTATTATTCCCGCTGCTCCCCTTAGCAGTGCACTTCATCAATCTTCCTGTTCTGTTCCCCACTTTGTCTCTGGTGAATCCTCTCACCATCTCTGTACCTCTGCCCAATGCTCCAGTTCTGTATGCATAACTAAATAATTCCTAAAAAAAAGATAAATGTTCAAATCACTTATTTCAGCATATAATATCTACCAAATGCAACTTTTCATTTTCTTTTCTTACACTCCATTTATAATATTTTTTTCTTTTCATAAACACTGTGCACTTCAATGACTTTCTGGCTTGATGTACACATTTTCTCTACCTGAAAGGACCTTCTCTTATATCTAGGGTATATCATGTGAGGGTTCTTAGAAGAAGCATCCCTGCTTACCTGCACACAAAGGTCCAGGGTTTGCCATAGGTCGCCTTTGGCCCTATCTCATCCTCCAGTTACTCTCCTCCTTCTGGATGCTCCTTTCACCAAGGTTTGTGTTCTTTACAGGCTTTCTCTAGGCCTTGTATTACACTCTAAAAAGGTTTCCCTTTCAGGCGTTCACCCATTTTCATCAATATTCAATAATCTGACCCATTTCAAATTAGCGTCCTCAATGTATAGCTCTTCTGTTCAGATGTCCGGGCACTCCCCAGGTCCACCCCTTATTTCTTTAAAAAGATTTTTATTTTTATTTATCTTTTGGACTTTTCTGTTGTTTCCATTCTGCTTCTGAATTTGGCTTTCCATACTCATGGTTAGTGTCATTTTCCATGTTTTCTTGACAACCTGCTCTATTTTCATCATTAGTGCATAGTAACCTCACCATTGTATTATAATTTTTTGTGAGTGTGCTTATTGTTTGCAACAGAAAGGGAAGGAAGGAGTGAAGAAACTATTAAGTATATGGGATAGATAGACAGAGGATGGCAAAACCCATACTGGGTCTACCAGTTGCCCATAGGGCTCTCTAGTCATGGTCAAATTAGGCATTAAAAATAAAATGGATAGGGCCCTCCCTGGTGGTGCAGCAGGTTAAAGCACAGTACTAAGAAGCTTAGACCACTTCAGCATGTGTTCTATTCCCACCCGCCCTGGAGGTGACCCACATGGCGTGGCAGACCTCTCCTGACCCACCGCTGCTCCCCTCAGCAGTGTACTTTGTCAGTTGGCCTGTTCTGCTCCCCACTCTGTCTCTGGTGAATTCTCTTACCGCCCCTACACCTCTGGCCTGTACCCCAGTTTTGTAATGAATAAATAAATCTTTAAAAAGTAAATAAATAAAATGGATAAAGAGGGGAGAGTAGGAAAGGGAGGACATGCAATTGAATGGTTTACAATATTAAGTACTTAAAAAGTATGTTGATAAAAATATAGGTTTTATTTAATGACTTCAACAGATGTTGGCATTTTAGTATTTTAGTATACTATTAGTAGTCTCTAAATCAAAGATTTTATATTTTGAAGCATTTAAAGAGACTATGGAGGAAATAATTGCATAAAAGCTTCCTTCTATTTAGTACTGGTTCATACTATTGTGTTATTATGTTCAGAAGAACATAGGATTCAGGGGACCTCCCTGGTGGCATATGGGTTAAGTCTCAGCACTATCAACTCTGTGGCCTGAGTTTGATCCCTCGCCAGGAAGCCAATACACATCTGGCACTCTGGTCTTGTCCCTAGCTCCCCTTGCAGTGCATTTCAGTAGATCTGCCTTTTTTGCTCCCTACTATGACCTTGGTGAATCCCCTCAATCCCCACCTCTGACCTATATACCCC